TAGGCCTTCTCATTTAAAATGGTTAAATGAATTTCATGATTAAAATTTAATTGATACTTCAAATTTATAAAAAAAACTGCTTTTAAAAGGAGCTACAAGGTCAAAGTAAGTGTAAAAATAAAATGAAAATTATACTTTGATAGACTCTTAGAAGAAATATAATGCAGATATAACAACACTTGACAAGATAATTTGCCTATTGAATCTGACTTTAAAATACACTGCAATGCTAAAAACCTTGCATTCATAGTATTTTCTATTTCACTCTAAAATATTTTATTCTTTAAATGGTAATAATTTAATTGGCAAAGATTTTTTTACAGTTCGCCAGTCAAGATCAAGGGCCATAACTGATTTTGACCGTCATAACTTTATAACTGTTATATAAAATAAGGCATAAGTAGCCCATTAAACTGATTTATGAAGAGAAACTAATTTTCATAAAAGTATATGATGTATATACTAAAATAGTTTTTTAAATAAGTAAATTTTATAGGAAAGTAAATCTCTAACGTTCTTATCTAGAGTTATGTTGAATAGATGCTTAGGAATGATTGAAAGCCAACCAAAGATGGACATTTTATAGAAAAGCTTAAAAAATATTTAAATATTTTAATAAATGTAATTTTTCACTTTTCAAGACAATTCCAATGCCACAAATGTAATGCCTATAATGAAGTAGTCAAATGGTTACTTTTTTTCAGTAGAAAAATTGTAAAGTTGTTCATTATTATTAACGAACAACTTTACAATTTTTCTACTGAAAAAAAAACTAAAATGGGACTATTAAATATTCAATAACAAAATCATCAGATATCACTGAAATTGACAGAACTATTGAAAAATGTCATAAATTGAAAAAAAAAACCTGTCATAGATTTTTAAATATTAATTACACAAAAAGGGGTTATATTAAATTTTAAGATATTTTAAATACTTCTACACCATTTATTATTTTAAAAAATCACTTTAAAAAAAATTTTCCCTTTTTAACATTTTTTTTTTTTTTTTTTTTTTAACAAATATGTAAAAACATGTAAATTGTCATACTTCTCAAATCACTGCATGTAATTTAAAACAATTTATTATAAAGCTGGTTCATTCTTTTTTTCTAGCATAACTAAATTTATATATAAAAAGAAAACTGAGAAACCAGTTGTGTAGCATATAGTAACCCAAATAATTTTTTTCTGATTTAATTATTGCACAATTTTTAGCTAAACTTTCAGTTGTTTAGTTCCTGCTAGTAAGTTTGATTATTAATATAGGCTATATCCAAATGTAAAAAAAAAAATTTATATTTGGTCATTTGATCTGATTTCTAGAAGTTAGACTGAAAACTTTTCACTGCCTTCTTATATGTATGTGTTATATTTTCTTTGTATACCTTTTTATAACTTTCTGAAAATTTTTAATGTTTGTAAATTTTATTCAGATATTTTTCTCTATTTGTAAATTTATTTTGATTTTACTTTGGCCAAAAATTTAATATTTATCCCTTTCCCAAAAATTTAATATTTATCCCATTTCCCATTTTGGTATGTGTTGTCAACTAAAAAAAACAAAAATCTTGAAGTTGATATCTTTGGCAGGAAGAAAAAGAAAAGAAATATCTAAAACATGTACACAAAAAGTATTGTTTACAATATGTTAACAATATATACATATAACAGAAAATCCAATTTCTTTTTTTTTACATACATTCTTCAAGGTGTGGGTGATCATGGCTGTCTATGACTTTTTTTTTGTTTTTGTAACTCTAAGCAGTGTTTGTCCTCTTACTATCCCTCTCAGTACCTGTTCTGTCATCCATTTACACAAACATGTTAGGTTACTCAATATTTCCCTTTGCTTCATTTTTCTTCAGTATCTTGTGAGTTGAATTCTCCAAGCTCTCTTTTCTTATGTAGCCCAAAAATTTCAACTCTCTCTTACTAAGTGTACGTTTTGTTCCCATTTTCCTTAAAGCTTTCTCTTTGCCCATATGTTTGGTCAGTCGTATTCTCAGCACCCTTCAGTAGACCCACATATGGCTCATTAAGCTGAAAGCATCAATTTATTGTGACAAATACATTTTAATAGATTAATTATCAAATTTCAAAATTCAAATTTTCCTGGTTTCTAGTTAAATTTTTAAAGTTAGGTTCTCACTAAATATTATTCAAATCATTTCAGATATTTTGTCATGCAAGCAGCAAACAAGTTTAAATAATCATAAACACAGTTTGCATTATTTTAATAGTTTTCAAGTACAGTTTGACACTAAGAAATCAGATTTAGATCATTTCTTTCTATTGCTACAATAATTTATATTCTATTCTAGTGAAAAGAGGTATTGAATAAGTATGTGGCATTTGTCTCTCTCATACATACACACACACATACACAACTAGTATAGAGTTAATGTTAATGAAATTCTCATTAGAATCAGCATTTAAAGCCCTAACTTAAAACATTTAAGATGTTTCATTTTTATGCATTTAAGATATTCTTTTGTTATATGCATGTATTTGTGCAATTTTTTAGTTCTATAATCTCTCTAGAATACAAAGTTGTACAATTTGTTTTTGGTACTTCTGTATTCAGATGCAAGATTTTATTTTTATCTTTCTTTGCCATCCATAGTATAATTTCTTGATCATTAAATACTTGTTCATTAATTACTAGATCATTAATTACTTGTTCATTAATTCTGAAATGAATGTTACCAGAATATCTTATCTTTTTCTTTTTTTCAATTTGGAATTTTGCAGGAAATGGTTAGTACAATAAAGAAAATATGGATTTTAATTTATATTTTACAAATAATTCAGGTATAAAACAATGAAAAGTTTGAAGTAGCCGTAGAGCTGGATAGATGCCACATATTGAAAAACATCTTGGATGATTACGAGATAATTTATCCTACTCCATCTAGAACAATCCTTTGTGTAGTGCAGGTCATTTCTCGCACATTGCCAGTACCTTAAATTTTATTACTACAAAAAAAATATATTAGTGTATTGAAAAAAGATTTTAATAGTTCATTAACAATTTTTATGTCTTTCCAAATTGAAATAACTTTAAATAGCTTTTGCCAGATTAATTCTAATTCTTAATCATTTTAAAAAAACAAAACAGTTGATGAGTAAATGTTTTAATACCATGTGCCTACAAGGTGGAATCAATTTTATATTTTTGTCTATGATTTGGTCCCATATTTGTATGGTTCTATAAAATTGCTTTATAAAATGTCTTAATGACAAACATGGAAGAACATTTGTAAATTTTTAGTGTAATGAAAACTTTTTGGTTGAAATACAGTATCCAACTCCATTTTGTTTAAGTTGCTTTCAACATTGAATTTTAAATCTTTGAATAACCAATTTGAAAATGAAGATAAATGTTTAAATAACATTGCATTTAATAATCCTTCAATTAGTGTAGCTTAGGTGATATGCACCATATATAACTTTGTTAATAGTACCAAGTATTGTACAATACAATGATCTTTATATGATTAGTATGATGTCATTGTGGCAAATTCCAGTAGTGTAGTATAGTGTACTTAATCAAGCCCAAAAATAGACAAGTTCGAAAAGGTTTCTTCTTCTTGGCCTCTATATTCACAGACTAGAATGTGTCAGGAAATAATGGTTCAATTGTTAGGGGTTTAATGTCCAGAATATATCAGGACTGTTGTTACAGTTAACTCAATGTTCGGTTTTCTCAATTTTTTGATGCAGTCAGGAAATGTCAAGATCATTTTAAAGGTATCTATTTTCTGTTTATTGAAACTAGAACATATATTCCTTTTATATATGGAATTCTAGAAATTATGAAATATGAGTCTTCATGCTCATTATTAAAAGCCATTCATTTCATTTTGCAGTTTTTTGATAACTAATCATCTTTATATCACTTTTCTGGTTCACTTATAATATTTACCCAAAATTAATCTTTTTAAGAAGCCCATTTTATAGAACTACCAATATAACATCTGCACTAAGTTTCAATAAATTCTCAAAAACTCTACACTTTAAATATGCATATTTAAAGTGTAGTTTTGAAACAATAAATTTGGTTATTATATATATATATATATATATATATATATATATATATATATATATAATAAAACCATTGTCATTCTTAAAAGCATTTTATTTTCAATAACAATTCCTTATGTCACTTTGTTGTTGTCAACAACTTTTGAAATTGTATCATAACAATTGCCACTTGAGATGTAGAAAGTTTTAACTATCATCCTTTTGTTTTTTACTTGGCCTTTTCCACCAGAAGGTGTGCTGGTTTTAATTCTTTATAAAAAACCTTCATAGGTTTTTTTTTTTTTTTTTTTTTTAATGGAATTTCTAATTTTAGCATATTTTATTTTGTCTCAATTTTAACATGTGAAAATCTCAGCAAATGCTAAATAAATTACCTTACAGCTTGTGGAATCTGAAGATTGCATTGAATTTTAATTTTACAATTTGGTCACTTTTTCTTATATTGTGAATCTGTAATATAATTACTATAACTTATTTCCCTTTTTCCTATTTTGAAATTTATATATAAAGTTCCTTTTTTGATAAATATTCAGAGGAGAGACAAAATGGATGTTATTTTTAGGACTAATATAATTCATCAAATACTATTAAAATAGTTATATCCTGAAGATGAATTATAACCATCCAACACACAAGTTTTGTACAAATATTTCACCAGTTTCCAAAAATGTTTAAACAAAAAAAAATTTGAAAAACTGCAGTATATCAAAATTTGGTGTTATATTTATTTAAAGTAATAAAAAAATTCAATAGTCAAAATTGTTAAATTAATAGTGCAGCACAAACTAAACTTAAAATTTATGAAAATGGTTAAGGAGGCCAACTTGAAAATAGCATTAAAATATTTACAAATCTGGGCAACTTGAGAATAAAATCATAAAAGGAGAAGATTTATTATAATTGATATTTTCTTAATTTTTATTTTTATCTTTGTTTTTTCCTTTATTCCAGAAACCTAGGCCCAGTCCAGAGAAATTTGTACGGCCAGGGAATGTACCCCAGGATAAAACTTGATAAACTACTCCACCTTCATGGGAGCAATATCCTGATCATCAGCCCAGCTTTGTCTGTCTTTCTCTCTCTCTCTCTCTGTATGTAAGCATGTATGTTGGGACTCATTGAATATCTGATTGCATGTAGACATTCATGTTATTGTTTACATGCTAGTGTATAAGTATGTCTGTATGCTAACAATTCTTAAAATACAACACACACACACACACACACACACACACACACACACAAAGATGGCAGTATCTCTCTTTTCTTTTCTTTTTTTTTTTTTTTTTGTATAGTGTGGCATAGTGATATATACCTTTCTGCCTTTGTCTATGCAGGTGTATACCTCACTTTCCTAGGTTGGTATCATCCTGTATAGTTCCATGCTCTTCACCCTTCTCCCTCTAATCTCTTCCCTCCCACCGTTTATCATTCACCAAAATGCCAACTCTCCTCTCTGGTGATCTGAAATTACCCAATCCCCCCAGAAACTTCCTTGAGAGGTGGGGGGGAGGAGGGATGAAAGATGCTTGACCAGAGAAGTAAGGCTTCATCTGCTCCAGTTGTAAAAATATTAAGATTATTACTACTACTACTACTACTACTACTACTACTACTAATAATAATAATAATGATAATAATAATAATAAATGGAAAAATACAAAAAGAAATGTGTTTTACCCACGCCTTAATAAATCCTCCTAAAAAAAAAAAAAAGAAATTCTTAAAAATGTCTATAAAAAAGACAAAACTGGGGTAGTTGTTTTTATTTAACTTTTTTATTTTTATGATTTTAATTTTGTTTTATTTTTTACTGTTTTGTTTCCTATTTTGGCTTATTTTATTTTTTTTACTGTGTCATATTGTAGTTAAAAATTTTGATAGCATTATGTCTTTGTAAAGGTTGTAAAAGAATAAAATGAAAAAATAATAAGACCATGCAAATGAATTTTTCAAGAAATAGAATATGGAAGGTTCAGCATGTGGCCATTTTGAAATATGCCTTCAGCTTATCCACCTGATTTTTTCTAGTTTCTTTATTTTTTTTAAATTATAATTTTTATGCAACCTCAAAAAGACTATTAATGCTCTCGGATATTTTTAATTTAGATTATTGATAAAATTATGATGGAAAAAAAAATTATTTAAATATTAAATGATATGCTTTTTTTCTCTCTATTAATTTGCATAGGCAGCCATATTTAAGTTTGACTATATAAGCAATATGCTTTATTGCTTAATTGAAAAAAAATGTAATAAATATTTATCAAAAACACTTAAATTTCGTGTAATATTGAAAATTTTAATTTATTTGAAGATAAGTGTCCTCTTCCTGCAGTTTCTTGTATTGTGACATTGTATATATGTCAAAGTACAATATCACAATCTAAGAATCATTCTGTCAATGATAAAAATACATGCTATATAAGAATTGAGTGGTTTGTGTGTTCATGTCTGGACTAATAACCAAACTTGATGCATGTTCCACACACTGCTTAAGCTTCATTGAATAAAGGATTTTTGATAAACTGAATAGAAATAGCTGAATAATAAAACCTTAAAAAAAATTAAGTTTCATTTTGTCATCTATGGATCAGTACTTAAAAATTTTGTTGATATGAGGTTTCTTCACTACCCACCCTCTTTTAATTTTAAAAAATAGCTACTCTATTTAAAATCTAAGTATAATTATTATTATTTACATTAAGCACAAAGCTGAAGTTGGTTCAGCATAGAAATATGTTGGAGATTTCAAATATATTAATTGTTGATAGAATCACAAACTGAACACTTTCTTTATTCTCTTATTCTTTTGTATTAAAAAATAAAATTTTAAAGCATAAAAGATGAAAGTGACTTTTAAAAATGATTTTCTTGGAAATCAGTATTTCATTGACAACTAATAGATTTTGTTTCAATTTTCCTATTGATTTAAATGAAAATATTTACAAACTTAACCTTTTCTTATCATTCATTGATTACATATGTAATCAAGACATTTCTCACAGAAACTTTCAGCCTTTGTTTGCTCATAGGATTTTTACATATTTTTCAAATTAAAGCTTTTTTTTCTTTGATGATGTTATATAGAAAAAATAATCATCCAATTCTGTGAAAAATGGTAAGTCAATTTTTAACTCCTCGAAATTAAAAGAAAAACCATATATAAAAGTTGCTCTCATTTCTTTTTCTACAATCTTTGACTCATTGTGAAGAAAATCTATTAATGTTATTTTTTATTTATTTATCATGGAAATATATTGCAAATTATTAGTCAAAGAAACATTTCAACAGCTATGTTAAGAAAATTTTATAATCAAGAAAAAAAAATTATCTTTACAGTATGTTTTTATTTGAAGATTTTAAAACTTTTAGAAATATTTGCTAGAAATGCAAATATGATGATTTGGTTCATGAAAATAAAGGCCAGAATTCTGGCTGTTGGTGTTAGGAATTAAAAAAAAAAAAATGTAATACTTTCAACCTAAAAGTGATTGAATGCTGATAAAGATGAAACACCAATTACACCCTGTTTGGTATTCAAATAGTTATATTCATTCTTTTATTTTTTTTTCTCTTCTTTTCCCAAAAGTTTATCAACTTGTCTGATTGAGGTTGTTAATTAAAGAGACATTATGTCTATCTTGGTTGCTTCATATCTATTTGTATTTTTGTGTGACTATTTTTTTTCTTTAATTTTCAGCATCATATGTCTTTGTGAATTTATTATAAAGAAAAATTACTACCCTAATATTTGTTTGATAAATAAAATTAGAAAGTAATTTTAAAAATTATTTTCCATCTTCTGAAAAATCATTTAACAGTCACATGGTTACATGATTTAGCATCTTTTTCCTTTACATAAACAAGATTATTTGTGTGTGTGCATTTTCCTATAAATCTGAACAAAAAAAATTGCTAATGTTGAAAGATTTATTAATATTGGTTGGTTTAAAAGAAAGAAAATGACAAGAATGATTTCTTAACCTTTTTTCTCAGGTGGAAAATGGTTATCAATTTCCTAAAGCCTTTTGATGTCTTTGGTAAAACCCCAGTTGGTATGTATTCATTCTTCAGAAGACAAGTGTAATTATTAAATAGTGCCATAAAGAAAAAGTTATTAATTTTATCAAACCTTTTTTTTGGTTTCATCAATTTTGATGGGATGACAGAATGATGTGCATTTCTCTCTCACACACACACCTTTTCAAGAAGGGAATTATTTTCTTATTACCTATAATGATATTTCACTGAGAAAATTGATTAGATTTTTTTTTTGTTTTGTTTTTAAGGAAGACAATCGGTTCTTTCATTCTAATTAAAATCTAAAATGCTTTAGATAACTGGGTTAGTATCTTTTCTAAGGGACTTACAGTAACAGTGGCCAAAGGTAACATTTAAGCATTAATGGCTGCTGTAAGTGTTCAAATTTTAAACTTTGTAGCAACAGCTCTCCCAAACAATATAAAATTTGTAAGTAGTTTAACATCCATATAGAAAAAATGATCCTAAGAAGTGCAGAATTAAGAGAGAAAAAAAGACCTGTTAAGACTTAAACCGCTATGGCTGCACACAGATCATTTTATTTTTTCCTGTAAATATTTCCAGTTTAGTTGTTGCTTAATAAGTAAATATAGTATTACATTTATTTTTAATAGAAATTCTTTACCTTGTATTGGAGCAACAATTTGAAAATAATCTAAATAAAAGAACATGTTTGTTCGGACCAGCATGTTTTCATCTTGGTTGTTGTACTCTCCAGACTTCTTTAAATGTCTGCTATGCTCAATAACTTTCTTGGCATTTTAAACTGAGCACTTTATTCAATCCATGGAAAGAGTAACTTAATTCTCTCTTATCTATTTGCATTTGTGTCAAATACATTTAAGCTTTGGTTAAAAGATATCTGGTTCCTCTTACAGTTAACTTCAAATCTTGGACTGGGTAGTGCTGAAAAGTCATATAATCTGGTTTAATGGAAGAGATGGACAAGCAACATAAAGGGTTCAGTTCAAAATTTCAAGACAGTTACGAGGTTCAACAGACATTTGACGAAGAATATAACAACCAGAACATTATGAATATAACAGCAAACTGATCCAAATAGCAAAGCATAGAATTATAATTCCTAATTTTCAAAATTTTAATACAAACCCACATCAGTTTGTTTGGAAATCCGTGATTGTATATTTATTGGATTAACATGTATGAAAATTGGAGTATAATGCATTGCCATTTTTATTATATATATGTGTGTATGTGACCCCCATTAAAATGTGTTAATTTACTGTACCGTTGTTTCACTATTACTTCTAATGGTCTAACAAGATTAATGGGCTCAAGGTACAAGATAACTCAGTTGATTGAGCAGAGGACAGTAGCTGATATCCTTATATTTATGCAGCATTCTAGAACTTGTCTATTATTATTTGGTGTTAAGCTCAGATATTTTTGATCATATCTTTTTAACATATAAAGTTAATGCAAATTTTTCTTTTTTTTTTTTTTTTTTTTTTTTTTCTTTTTTTTTTTGCACATTTGATTAAATTAAACCATAAATAGCTGATTGCAAATAGAAAAATTCTTCATTGAACACAATATTAATACAGTCATAATGAATGCTTGATGGATTTATTATAGTTCAATAATTTTTAAATATCAATGATTCTAAAAAAAAAACCCAAAAAAACTTTACTTTGATAAAAAATTTTTTATTATACTCTCCTAAAGGGCAGTAGTGTTAAAGTAGTTTTTCATTACCTCACTTTTTCTAAAGGACAAACCATACATATTGAAAGTTTTTTGAAATGTGGCATATATTGTAGAAATGTGTGCTAGATTCAAATGTATAACAAACCATGGGAAAGAATACCATGTGCCTACAAGGTGGAATCAATTTTATATTTTTGTCTATGATTTGGTCCCATATTTGTATGGTTCTATAAAATTGCTTTATAAAATGTCTTAATGACAGACATCTCTGACTTCAACCAGAAAAGCATTTTACTATTGTG